ATCACTGTCATATGACGCTGCACGAGGCTCTGACGGTTTATTGACATCACAGGATTTTGTGATAGCAATGTCAGTCTATCCGTCAGTTGGTCCACACTGAAATATCTCAACAACTGTTGGATGGATTGCAATACAATTTTGTAAAGATTTTCATGGTGGTCCCCAGAAGACAAATCCGACTAATTTTGGTGATCCTCTGACTTTTCCTCGAGCACAGCAACAAGTTGACATTTATGGTTCTTACTGAACTATACCCTTAGCAGTGGTTGCCAAACAGTGTGCCCTGAGGCAAGTACAGGTGTGCCGTGTGATTCTGTGACAATATTTAATTCATTATTTATTTTACTATATCAGTACTTAAACATTTTCAAGTGAATCCTTATGATTTGGTTAATTAATATTTCATGAGTGATAGTTGTTTGTCAAATTTTATTTGGTATTAGTAAATCACATTTTTTATTTCAGTGTTATAGAGGCTATTTTACACGGATATGAATGGACTTCGTCTTTGTTTTGTGCCCAAAATGTTTGACCACTGATCTAGAGCCATCATCAGGGTCAGAATGTTAAATTGTCCAGTGGCTGGTTTGGTTTATGACCTGCTTTCCCATCAGCCTCAGCTGTACTCTGTGTTTAATGTGTATTAGCACACGCTAACTCGCTAAACCAACATAGAACATGGTGAGCATTACACCCGCTTAACAACAGCATGTTAGCATTATCATTGTGAGCACATTAGCATGCTGATGTTAGCACTTAGCTTAAAGCACTGCAGTGTCTAGATAGAGCCTCACAGAGCTGCTAGCCTGTCTGCAGACTCTTGGTTCCACTCTCATTGCTATTAGGAGCCAGCAGTGTTTGAAGGCACTGTCCAACTCTAAATATTATAATGTTAATGTAATGTTGTAAACAGCAGTAACTGAATAATACCTGAGGTACTGGACCCAGCCACACAGAGTGACCCTCTCTCCCACATGATGGGCTCTCAGTTCTCCACAGGTGTGACTCCTGAATGACAGACTGCTCGGACCTGCAACACAATCACAATTAACAGACCAGAACTGGAACTGACTATATGATCATATGATAACCAGTAAACTACAAAACAACTAAGTTAGCTGTTGAAGTTCTGTGTAACACATATGTAGAAGACATTGTATTGCTTTCAACATAGGTTGAATAATTTCATGGGGATTTTGTATACATTTGTTATATCTTGATATATATTGAAATACTGTTACAAACACTTTAACCATATCGGACCACACTACTTAAACTCCATTAAACTTTCAGAAAAAACAGGTGTCTGCTGTGAAAAAGGTCTGATGTTCAATTGAATGACCTAATGACTAAGGTACAGCAAGTACTCAGATCAGTACAGATCATTGTTATGAGTATCAGCAGAGTAAAATGTATCAATATCTCTACTTTTGCTAAAAGGTTACCTTGTTGTTCTGCTCTGAAGCTAAATTCTGAGGCTGTTCTGTAAACAGCTTGTTTCCTGATTTGGGCTTTCTCATTTTAAAACAAAAACCCATTAGCCGCAGTACACTGACCAGTAAGGTTAATACAGATGAACACAACCAGTCTTTATTATGGGTTTGTGGGCTAACTAACTAAACACCAGTGTGCATTTTACTTGCCCATCCTGGACCCTAATGGGAGTCACTGTCCAAAGGCAATACACACTAGTCAACTATAAGCCCTCACCCAGTCCCATGGTGCATCAGTCTGGGGTAGCAGTACCTGTGGTGGGAGGATCAGGCCTGTACAGTGTGTTTGAGCAGCTCAGCTGTCTCACTTGTGGTTTCCACAGCAGGCGTCCTTGACTGGAGGTCGCAGCTGAGCTCAGGCAGCAGACAGTGTGAGCTCTGAGGCCGGTGAACACTCTCTGCAGCACATACCTGCCTCTGGCTGCCATTTCCCAGCAGCACCGCGCCGAGCAGGGCAATCTCTCAGGCTGTCTCTCTCAGGC